AAAATCTAGTTGGTCTAATAAAAAATATCACCTCTACCATGAGTCCTAATTCCTTTTGCCGCTAGACCTATACAGCTACAACTGTATTAGTCAACACGCACCTGGCTGGGGTCATCTAACCCCATTGCTCTTTTCTGTTCAGGGCAGGGGGTCGGACTTGATGATCTACAAAGGTCTCTTCCGACCCAAACATCTGTGAACCTAGATACCTGGGACAAAGCTTGCATTTATATGCCATTTTTCCCCAGAGCATCTTCCCTGCTTTATTGATGGTGTTGGCAATTCTCTGTGCTGTAAATCAGCTCTATAGAGGGGTTCCTCCCCCCCACCTCCCCCAGTATGTATTACATTCTCTCCCTGGTCCTCACCTTTCCCTCCAGTCTATGGGATGAATGGGCTGGAGGGAAGTAGGTGGAAGTGTTGCTGCCAAGTTTTTTGTATGGATATGTGCTTCACTTGTTTCTTTGCTACCATTACTTTTTCTGAGAGGGTTTGGATTTGTTTTATTTTTATGTTTTTGAGTTTGCTGAACAGTCTCCATGCAATGTTTTAATTTTTCAATGTGTGAGGATGTTTTAAAAAAGGGGAGAAAGGAAGAGAGGTGCTATTAAAAAAAAAAAGGTGGGGGGAAGGGAGATGCCGTTTTATTTGATTTCAGGAGGTTCAAAAATAAAATTAAAAACCTTTATTCAGTTTTGATTCCTTCAGAGCTGCTGATTGTTTTAGTTAGCTTAGAGGAGGTGCTTTGTTTGTGTGCAAGTTTATTTATCTAAGTAGACACAATGGTTCATAGTTATCTCCCATTTGATCTGTAATCTTTATTGGCATCTAGAACTCCTTCAGTTCCTTAGAACAACATCATAATAAATCCATTCTGCTTAGAGCTATGTGGGAATTATTGAGCTTGTAGGGAGTGAATAGAGAGAGGGACATTTCAGTGGTGATTTTGGAGATAGCAAAATTCTTATTATGGTAAGTTCAACATGTTTATGTGCATTCAGTTATCTGAATTTCTTTTTAGGTTGACTTATGTATTTCTTTTGCAACTTAATTTCGCTTAATCTGTATGTATTTGATCTTTGAGGTGAAAGATGTATAGTCAGGAGGAAATAGAATTTAAATGATGCTTCTCCTCTGGAGTACACGCCACTAGCTATCTTTCACTCATCATAAAGCCTGTTTTTTGCTCACATCCCTGAAACAGTTGTGCAGTGTGCTCTTGTCAAGAAATAACTATTGTGCAGAGCAGTTTTCAGTTATTTTATTGCTGCCATACTTCAAACAAAATAAAGATCTCACTGTAAGAATGTTTTTCTTCAGTGCTTTCTGTTTTCTTCTGTTAATTGTACAGAAAGACATTTGATTGAAATAAAAACAGTAATTTGTGTAAACACCTGACAAAACAGGGAAACCCATCCTGAGTGTAGTTTAAATAGTTGAGGTAGTCTGTCTTTTTTTTAAATCTGCATCAAGTGAACTGATGGATATGCTGAAATCAATAGTAGAAAGTACTTTTCATATCATAATGTATGCTGTTCTGTGACACACTGCCTTTATTCCCCATGCTTAATGATTGTCTGAGGGACAGTCCCTCCAAGCCTGAGGGAACATGACTCTGCAGCCCAGACTTGGGGATTGTTGCTAGGTGTGGTATAGAAGCTGGTTAATGGGGATGTATTTTAGGATTTTGCTTGTGCAAGAAAGAAGGTTGCTCCTGAGAGTGTTTTGTTGTGTATGTTAGGCTGTTGAGTTTTGTTTATGCAGCCGTTTAAACTATTGTTTAAAAATGTTTATTTTGGATTTTTATTTGTATATGTGTTTTCCATGATGTGACACCTACTGGGAAAAATGCCGGTTTGTATAGCCAGGGAGAGAGGATTTTTCATATTGTAATTACACATAGCTCGGATTGGAAGGGAACACATTCTCTTCATTGGGAGCAGCTTGTTGTAAGCTCAAGCAATGCTCAGCCCTCCGCTTGCTCCTGGTGTTTTACTTCAGCTTTCTGGGCCTTTCATATTTACAGAAATGAGCAGGGATCCTGGTTTTCTCTGGTTAAAAATTGCAAATTCTCTG